GAAGAATGACGCTCCAGCTTTCATAAACATGAAATGCAGAGAAAAATAAGACTGGCTCAGTGTCGACCAAGCGTTTCCATTGACATCCAGAGTTTTAAATCAACATTGGTAACAGTTTGGAAAGGCACATGATGCCGAAAGCACTAAAAACACAGCATTGTTTTTACTCCACTGTTTAATTTACTGAACATGTTCAAAGTGTTGTAAAAAGATACTTTAATTTTCAAAATAGTTTAAAAAAAAATAGGAAATAGGGCAAAACGAGTCATTGGTATCTCTATCGCGTCCGTAAACAAACTAACATCTTGATGTGTGCCCGAGCCAACTATAAATCTCAAGCATCTCTGCAGGTTTGAATCAGCATTAAATTTTAAACACACTGCTCGAGGATTTCACAAGTAAATACTATACATAAAGGAGCAGCGGGGGATTAAAAACCCTGAAGTAGCAGAAGATGGATCCCACCATTATGCTCTTTTTAAAGAAACAATTGCTATTAAAATATGCACCTGCTATTGACAGATACCAGCCTGTTGCGTCTTCAAAGTTGGTCATGAGTTAGTCACATCAACCAGAAAGCGTCGTTGTGTTGGTGGTTGAGGCACAATGAAATGATCTGAATGAGAAACTGTCACTTCTAACAAAAATAACATCTCAATCATGTGTCCAAATCCCCAGCAATGTGAAGGATCCCCCCCTCTCAAACAGAATAAGTTCCCCTAGCTATCAAGACATCAGATCTGGTTTTAGTGGGTCTTGATAGAACGATATCAGTACGAGCTGATGCAACTCACTGGGGAATTATGAAACTACGCTCACGCTTCATCTGCTCAATGAAAATTTCATCAGCGGGAGCCTTTTCCAGGCCATGATGGGACAAGTCTGAACAGCACCAATGCAGCTCTCTGGCTGTGAAATGGAGAAGAAAAAAAGAGATTACACAACAGACAACAATGACAAACGCTGCGCATTCAAATGACATAAAAACACAGGAGCAGCAGAGGAGCTACATATACAGAGGTGTCACATATAATCCATCCAGCGTGGGAAAGTGGTTAAAATACCAGTGAAACTACTACAACCATTACAAAATCCCCTTTCAATAAATAATAGCTTGCTCTACAAATTTAATGTGCGAGTCTCCTCTAAAGATTTAAAGTTAAATATGACGTTGAAATATTGCCTTTATCTACCAAAATATTATTGAGTCAGCGTGAAAAGTTCATTTTGAACTTGAGACCTCGTGACTTAAGGTGTCTGGCTGGCTGTGGACTGTAGGTAATCACTGCAGCTCTGCTCAGGCACCTGATAAATTATCAAATACATCGGCACTCCAGAAAGTGCAGCCTGCAACTATTCCCATCTTTTACACTCCAGTACTCCTCAAAGTAGGGTCAGAACCCCTTGGGGGGGTCCTAGATTTCCCATTTCCCAACATTTTTTTTTATCTAGCACAGCACTATATTTTATTAAGAAGGACAGAATTTTCATTTCTACTCCTCCAAACTGTTACCCCATCACTTGAAAGTTCTCTCTCTTGTGCTCAATTAGAGCTAAAAGTGACTTTTTTTCCGAGTCAGACTCCCACGTCAGCTTCATTGGTGCTGACTAGGCTGCGACTTGTTCAGCGTCCCCATTTCTCTGTATTAAAATCTACATACAGTCGCCATCCTTTGTCCTACAAACACCATACATTTTTAAGCACTCAAATATGATCTCTGTCTTCCCCTCGCTCCCCCTCTCTCTAAAGGTTGACTGAGCTATTGAAATATAAATGCGCCCTTCACTTGCCAGGGCATTGGCTCTCATTTTAGGAATCCAGCTACAACAGCCAGGATTCTGAGACAGCCTCCTGTAGGAAGTGTAGTAAATGGGGATGTTAGACACACACATACACTTCAATTATGGATGGGGATTTTGGATTCTCATGATGCTCCCGGGCATATCTGACCCTTTCTTTGTAAAAAGAGCTTTGTCTTTTGCAGACATTATGTCCCAGCTGTGAAATGGCGAGCCTATTTTTAGACTTGTTTGTGCAGATGTTAAAAAGAGGGTTTGATTTTGATTTGGCTATGTTCTCATGTAAATGAGGTTAGAAAAGGTTTTAGGTTAAAATCAGATGCTTTAAAACAAGGGATGGGGAGGGCGGGCTAAATGTTTCCTGTAAAGGGAAATATCAGTAATATGAGACATCCGTAACATGTGGAAATATTTCATGAAGAGCAAGAGAATAGCAGTAACCACAACAGCACAGACATTCTAATGCTGTTATGTATGACGTCTTATAGGGAAAAGCCTGAATGAATTACTGGTGGGAAAAAAAAGATGGTATATTTTGAGTCGCCTATGGTGTCTGATAATAACAATAATGTAGAAAAGCAAAGGATGAACACATTTGCTTCCTTTTCACATTTCTTCCGCACACTCAGGTGTCTATAATGAAGCATTCAACATTTACTGAAGTGAGTGGTTTCTGCATGTATGCCTATCCATAGGGATGGGCATACATGAGTCATTTTCGCACTCCATAGAGTGCGACAATGACTCGAGTCGCGACCCATTTGAGCACTCATGAGTTTTTGGAGTGACGTGTTAGGCGGGGCTTTCTCAAATCAGAAAAAAACAAGCAAACACTAAACTAACACTCTGGTGACCCGTTGTCTTATTATTAGGCACCGATTGTTTATTTTTTCCTCTTATTCATAGGCTGGGATTATACGTTTGCATGTTTTTACTGACGACATGAGGACTGCTGGTCATTGAAAAGAATATGTGCAGTAGCTTGAAAGCCAAGGTGCAGCAAAAGCTTAATCAACCAATCATTTTTCTTAATGTGCAGGTCTGCAGAATTTTCTATGTTCATCTCTGCAGAAGTATACAGCATTGTGCAAAAGTCTTGAGTCTTCATTACTGTAATTAGCTTCCAGTGAGCCAGACTTTCTTGTAATTTTTTATGTTGTCTTGAGCAATAGTTCTCCTCTGTTTCTTAAAGTCTTTAAAAGTTTTTCTTTCTTTTTTTGGACATTGTTTGTTGAACCACTTAACACTGATCTATGAATCATTCATGCATGAAAGAGACACCTAACTCACAAAAGAAATGGTGGTGGACAAAAGAAGAAGTGGCAAACTATCTGGAGCAGATGGATAGTATCTGGAAGTCATGTCTTTAAGAAGTAGGAACAATAGGAAGGAAGAAACAATAGAAAATAGAAACAAAGTCCACTAAAGACCTGACACAGGACCTGAGAGATGCACCCGAGCCTTCAGTTGATCCATCAACTGTTTGCAGAAAGCCTTGTTAGAAATGGATTCAGAGGAAGGGTGGTCGTCAGGAAGACGTTCCTAAAGAAGGGAAACAGGAAGAAAAGGCTGAGCTATGCCAAATTACACAAGAACTGGACTGTCAAAGTGGTGATAGGTCTTATGGAGTGATGAAACCAAATGCGAAATTTGGGTTCAAATTGTTGTCAACATGCATTCAGGAGGTCAGAAGAAATGTACATATCTACAACCATCTGTAAAAACACAGTGGAAAATATGTCATGATTTGCCAGTGGATTTGGGGATCTTGTCAAAATTGATGGAATTATAAATGTAGAAATACACTGTCGGATTCTTATCCACCATTCAGAACCATCTGGAAAGAGTCTGATTGGCAAGAGCTTCATTTTTCAGCATGACAATGATCCCAAGCACAGTGCCAATGCAGTAAATCCATACTTGGATAGAAACACACAATGGAACATGTCCAGTCAGTCACCTCGACATAATTGAAGCAGTCAATGGTCATGTGGTTAGAGAACAGCCAACATCCAAAGCCACAATCCAAAGAAGAGATTTAAATGTACTTCAGGAAGCCTGGAGAGCTATTCCTGAAGACGTTTTTAAAGAAATTGCCTAAGAGAGTTCAGGCTGTGTTGAGGAATGATTGTAACCATGTCAAATATTGACTTTCAAACTTGTTAGAATCTCTTTTTGTAATTTATGTTTGTACATTTTTTACATTTTTCAGTAAATTGCTGCACCTATATTCTATTTTCCTAGCAAAAAAAAAAAAAAAATTAGTGGTGCTTTTTGCACAGTACTGTACATCCACCATGAGACATCTAAATGTTATACTTAATAATAAATATGAACACTTAGGTTCAAGTAAGGGGCAAGCTTATTTTCTCCTTCTTTTAAACTCTAGATAAGAAGATCTGTTTCTTTAAATTTCCAAAGGCAACAACATTACCCCTCCCCCCTTTTTACAATTTCACTCATATTTAGGGTAGTTTTAATTTGAACAATGAAATCCAGCACTTTGACTGTCTTCCAAGAGACACTGTCTGAAAATGTGCGCCTTCATCTCCATATTTAAATGATCACCCATGAAATCTGGCTTCTCCCTGTGCCAGGATGGCCATTTGGAGCGGCTATAAACACGTCTGATTTCCAGTGTGACTAGACAACTCATCACCCTTCTTTTCTAACAGAACCAAGACTTTAATCAAGAAAAGAAAGAAAAGGCCTCATGTATAGATTGTAAATCAGTCTACTGTTAAGTCTGGTGCCAAGGCTTTCACGAAACGCTCCTTTAGTGCTTTGTCTTGGGCACATTTCTCATAATAATGTGATAGGGCGAATAGTGTGATGGCATTGGTCGAATTTTTCTGTCGGAAGTATAATATGTCTGTTTGAAACTGAAGTTACGCATTTTCCAGCACATCTGCTGTTTTTTCAAGGTACTAATATAGAGTCATATAACTGTTTAATATCACTGCTCTGTCTTCTTTAGGCATGTATAATGGTAAAGCCTATTGTTTATTAGGCAAACCCAATCTTCTATAGTCACAGAAAGGCACAAGTCTGACAAAACAGAAAGAATAAAACGAATAATAGATAATAAATACGATTAGGGTGGGAGGCTATTGTGTTCGGGTCTGAGCTGGAGCTCTCCCTTAAAGCTCAGGATTGCAGAGCATCAGTGAGGAGAGCACCTTTCCCTGATCATCTGACGGCAGACGGCTCCTCCCCGCTCCCTCCTGTCTGCTACGCAAAGCAGTGGCTCGGGCACAACTCTGCCCGCGTTTCTATCCACGGGGTTCGTCTACGTGAGCAGGAGACCGGAGTCGAGTTCTCCACTTTGAATAAACAAGGACTGCGTTCCTGCACTGGTGTCGGCTTTCCAGTGAATCAGTGATGAGAGTGGCCGAGAGCACAGGCGGACGCTTTTCTCCCGTGCGGACCTGCAGAGCGCAAAAGTGCGCGCCCCGGTTCGGCTTCGTCTCCATCCTCCGCTCCTGAGATCAACCCAAATCCAAAGAGGCGCGCTGAGATCCCCCACGAACCCCCCTCGTGCGAGGTAACCGGATTTTCTCTCAAGCTTTCCCCTTACTTTGAGGACACACTGCTTCTCAGCAGCTCACACACATGCGTTACGCTTTCATGCAAAACTTGAATCTCCTAGCGTCTGAGAAAAGGATGCTGTTTTTTAAATTGAATTTTTATTCTTTTCAATTCACGGGTGATTCATTTCTCAGTTGTCAAGCTCGAACAAATCCAGTTATCGCCTCGCAGCGAGCCGATCCTCTGACATTTTGAAATATGATTAGTCACTCATGTGAAATAGGTGCCTCGTCGTTTTTCTGGACCTCACATTTAAATTCTTTTTAATAGAGTATTGATCAAACTAATTAAAAAATAAACGCTGCATCCAATAAATTAACTTTAGGCTCTCACGGGAGCACCGTCTTTTCTAAACCCTGTGGGCTTTGACATTTAAAGTAAGCTTTCCAATAACACCTCTAACACATTAAAAGTTTGGGGCAAAATTTGCGAAGTTAGTGTTTTTTTTTCTTTTTAAGGGATTAAAATGCGAACTTAAACAGAGACGTTTGCAGAACTCCCCCCCCCAGCTCCAGATTGAAACTGAAAGCTCTTATATTCCATTTTAAAGAGTCGCCGTGTAAACTCAATCAGACAAGAGCAGCTAATGATAATTACCCCTCTCCTGTACTAGGGGAAACGTAGCCTTGATGTGGCATTGTTTCTTTCCTCGGCATCATTTCATCTCCTGTATCTGCTATCACAACCAAAGCAAGTGAAATTCCAGCAGCCACATACTATAACGTCACAGGATGCAAATTGCCATGGGCTGTGCAATTCACCTTTGATTATGAGCATGTGGGTGTTGGCTTATGTGAGCTGGTTCTTCCAGCAGCAGGATTTCCTCCAAGGCATAAACCGTTGTTTGAGTGGAATAAGTTCTGTGATGAAATTCAAATGAAACATAATGGCTTTTTTTCCCCAGCTGAAACCCTGTCCTATCTCTTTTGCTTCAAGTGGGCTTTAATTGCTCTGTATTTAAAATAGGTTCAATCTTTAGGCTGCATAACCATGCTCTGGAAAGTAATGTGGTGGTGTTAATGTTCTGACAATTACTTTTTGGGTGTAGACTGCTCATTATATTGAGATGTGCTGTAGTCTTTTTGTTATTTTTTTCCCACTGAAAATCCCCCTTTTAAAGATTTTATTTGAAATACATAGTGAGCGCGTGCAAAAAAACTTTCTAGATGGACACTTATTAATCAAGAGGCAAATGGTGAAAAGGCTACACAATGAGTTCTCTGCAAGCTGGTTAGAAAATTGGAATTAAAGGCCAAAAGGTCGACATGAAAAAGGGGTCACCCTCATTATTTTCATACCCGACTAATCAACATGAATGTGGTGACTGTGCATCTGTTGCTAAGCCAGAACGGATATTTTGTTTGCTTCATCCTATGCTCGAACCAAACGTGTAAGTATTGCAGAAAGCAGTGAAGCCGGGCGGTCTATGAGATCATCTTGACAGTAAGCGTGTACGAGTTAGGTTGTAAAGACAATGGTGAGATAGGGAGGCGGTTATGATTTCTAAATCCACAGAGAAAACAAAAGGTGTCTCTGTGGTGTAGGAGTGGACAAACACGCAGGGTCAGTTGTTTTTTACACCACACCATGAGGGGTTCGTGTGGTAAGCATAGAAGAAGGAGGAGGAGGTGGGAGAGAAACAGTTTCAATTGCCTGTTATTACATTTTTTTTTCTTTTTTGTGTTTGATGGAGTTTATCCAGTTGGCTCCACTTGAGCAAAGCGGGGGACGAGGGGTGGGGTGGGGTGGAGGAAGAGAAGAACAATAAAACAGAAGTGAATTTTCTCCTCCTCAAGTTTTGCTAATCAAGAGCAATAAAAAATAACACGAGCGTAGAGTTAATATTTGATGAGGTTATGTTTGCTGAATTAAAGGATGAAAACTATTAGCTGAGGCATATGAGACTTTTGTTAAAAATGCAAATGAAATCGAGTGTTTGGCTTTTATGTGTGTGTGTGGTTGTGGGAGGATGTAGGTTTTCCCTCAAGAGATCCAACTTTTATGAAACACATTTTTTTTAAAATGCTTTTAAATTGGCACAATTCAGCCTGAAGGCTCTAAACTCTGTATCAAAGTCAAATGTCAATGAAACCATTAAACTATTTATCCATATTGTTTATTTTTATTTGTGAACAATTGTGACCAAAACAATATTTTTAATCGACATTTCTTGTACTGTACAGCCTCTATTTTTAAGTCATGGAATTTATGCTTGTGTAATGGTCAGACTGGCCAGGACAATATCATGAAATGTATGAAATGCATGTTTGTTAAATGGCCTGTATTTGTATTGAGCTTTACTTAGTCTCTAAGGACCGCAAAGCGCTTTACACTACATTCAGTCATTCACACACACTGGCGACGGCAAGCTACATTGTAACCATAGCTCCCCTGGGGCGCACTGACAGAGGCGAGGCTGCCAGACACTGGCGCCACCGGGCCCTCTGGGCCTCTGATCACCACCAGTAGGCAACAGGTGGAGTGTCTTGCCCAAGGACACAACGACCGAGACTGTCGGAGCCGGGGCTCGAACTGGCAACCTTCCGATTACAAGACGAACTGCCAACTCTTGAGCCACGATCGCACCGTTAACCTTGACCGTGACCCAAAGTCTTAACTGTTTCAATTGTCATAAAATGGCTTGAAAAGGGCTTCAAAATGCCGCTCTGTCAGAAATATGCCTGAATTGGTGTGCTAATTATACAGCAATGACTGTTAGTGGAGAGTGTAATTCAGATTATTTTCTGTAACTATGTCGCTTCAACACTAAGTGTAACAGCAACCGTTTTTAGCCACAATAGATACTGCCCATCTAAATAACTTCAGATTTAAAGCTGCACTTCCTTCAGTCCCCAGCAGTGTACCCGTTCCGTGTGGAGCAGAATGGATACATAGCTGTCGAGACACACACTGACATATGTGGCTCTGTATCCACTATGAAAGGTGATAGCCCTATCATATTGCACAGGCAGGTAACCAGATTGGAGGTATTGTTGGCCATTGCTTTGTAGCACCTGTGATTTGAGCACTCTCAGCACTGCTGAATACATTTGCATATTAGCTACTTCCTGTGATTTGCATCCTGGAATTACAGGCTGAGTTAAGAGGTTGCAGAACTCCCCACTGCACAGTTATGACAGGTGCTAACTAGTCTCCTTGGTACAATGTGAGAAAAACATCACAGAGTGATAAGGAGTCACCAGAAACTCTGAAGGTGTGAACATAACATGCATGAAAAGACATTTCTAGAGAGAATTGCTGCGATTGTTAGCATGCTGAGCTAGCTATAGCAAGCTAGCCAGCCGAGCTCGGTGGTTGCTACTTTCAAAGTGAAATACAGACTCCAAGGCACAATGAATCTTCTAAAGTTCCCAATGTGGAAAGAGTAAGAAACAATCTTTTATCTATGTAGTGCAGCTAAGAGTTCATAAGGCCATCTCCTGTCAGTGGTTGCTCTTAGTCATCAGTTAGCCTGCTTTCTTCCTACCCAGGGGCCTGAAGCTCTCTGTCTCCAATTAGGCCCAAAAAGTTGTGTTGTTGTGAAAAAGAATATAATATAAAATACATAAATTAAACTGAGGTATAACTTTATTTTTTAATAAATATTGAAGGCTGTTTTCCTGACTGATATGGGGCAGTGAAGGAGTGGTTTATTCTTGTTAGCATTGTGAATGGAGTGACTTGCTAGTGATAAGATTTACAAGACCCAGGCATCATTATTTCCCTGCACCCAGTTAAATAGAAGTTGTCAGCTGTCATGTGCTTTGTGATTGACTTTGATCCTGCCTAATGATCACTGTGTTCATCTCGGAGCCGTAGGACATCGCTCGTCATGCTCTCAGCCTGATATAATATGCACATGATTTCAAAACTGAGCCTCTTGACCTAGTGAATTCTCAGTTCTGCTGGCTTTTTGATTTTGGATATTTACACCCCTGTGATTAGGTCACCCAAGTACAATCACTCATCCAGCATTGTGATGGTAATGTCATACAGAGGCTGATTTATGTGTGTGTGTGTCTGTAGAATTGGCTGGATCCCCTGTCTGCCTCCCCCGTGGACTGATTACTGATCAGACTAGCATTTCATATCAGCCTTGTGGGGGGAAATTAGAGGATTAGCAACAACTTCATGCTTATTCCCTACATATCTTCCAGGCCTCCAAATCCTCTGGAAGCCATTGTTATTTTAAGTAGCTTGGCAATTGAGCATGGAAGCAAGTTCTAATTCTCCCAAGTCTTTGGAGATGCTGAGCTGCAGAAAGTTAACATTTTGGAGCTACTTCCCCTGCTATTCATGTTCTTTCATGATGTGAAAATGAGTAACTGAGAGAGGGCCATGAAGCTGGCTGCCAGGACCTCTTCACTCCAATCCTTGGTTCATACATAATAGATAAGTCACTGTAACTTACAGTACAGGGCCATAACTAGGCTAATGCTTAGATTTGCATATTTGTGCCGGATTCCATAATTCATGAGCGTGCAGCAGGCAGAGATCCATGCTGCAAACCTTGGTCCACATGATGAGCACCATATATATCTATCCAACATATCCAACATGCGTACCAACAACATTAAAAGGGTGTACAGAAGCTGTCTTTTCCAGGCACATGAGAGCTTTGTCTTCATCATCAAAAGCTTCAGAGTCTGAACTCTGCCTTTGGGGAAGCCTTATTAAAGGCATGCAGATGAGAGAATCAGACAACAGGCTTTCTCCCGCTTAATTTACTGCAATTCTGAAATAATAGGACAGGGTGAGAGCGGATGAAAGAAGAGACAGCAGAGGGCAGCGACACCTTGTAGTGAACAGATTTCACGAGCCACTTTTTCATCAAGGGGTTCAAGAAAGCCAGACACCCTCATCAATGGCGAGTGTTATGAAGCAGATTTATCATTCCACTTGATGATGGGACAAGTCATTTATTCATTAAGTTTTTGCTCTTTTTCTTGCATACAC